GCCGCAGCGGCGGGGCGGGGGCGGGGGCCGGCCGCCAGCCCCCCTCCAGCCGGGCGCCGCGCCCCCAGCAGGCTCCCGCGCAGGAGAAGGGGAGCTGCCCGGCAGGTCACAGCGCACTTCGGGCCGTGGAAGTGTCCCCCATACCTCAGCAGCTGCCAGGCGGTACTGGTGGGAACGAAAACGCTGGATGAATTGCTGCAGTCACGGCCGAAGCTATTCATTGGAAGCAAATACCTTCAAAATGAGCACATCATGTAGAAAATGCATTTGTGAGCTCATTGTGATTGAAGGCACGTCAGTTTTCTCTACAGCCACTTTTACCAATTTTTCCCATCTTACATAAGTGAGCTTAACGGTAGTACATAAAAAGCCTCAAAACAACCCTAAGGAACAGCTCTTTCACCTTGAAGGACCTCCAGGCTGATGTACCTTTCAAGTCAAGAGTTTCAGAGTAGGTGGATTTAATCACTTTAAAATCCAATTTAAAATCAAGATCTGCAGATGCTTGAATATGGGGTTCAATCCCAAGTTGCATCATCTCTGATTTGTTTCTCCTTAGCAGTTACACCCATCCATATCAGTTGTGCTTGAACTCAGTTTCCAAGGGCATATAAATAGCTCAAGACAACATTGTACAAAGTGTTTGAGGATGCAGACACACAGTTCCGGTCGGAATAAGCAACACTAGCCACATAACTACTTAAACTTTACACTTGTAAAAGCATAGGCCTATCAGTATATTTCACAATACATTTAAAGGTCTTAAAACCCTCACTTTTGAAAATATATATCCTCCCTCCTCCATTTTATATTTGACTGTAAAAATAATTCCAATTTTCAATTACCAGAGACCTCAAGACTTCCACAATTTCTTCATTCAATATAAAGAAAACACATCCCCTGCCAACAAACTACACAGGAAAAGATGCTGACATTGAGATGTGTAAACATTACTTGATAGTGCAAAGACTAAATCAAGCACTTCTGTGCTTCAGATGGTTTGAGTAATTTTTAGGTTATTCCCCCTTTTACTTAATGCCTTAAATTAAAAGACAAGAATTATATGCTGCATAGTTTAAGGAACTGTAATTAGGCTCAGGCCTTGACAAACTCTTACTAGAAACATTCTGAAAAGCAAATGTGCTTAAACACAAGCCACCAATTTCCATCTTGTTTCTACGTCACCAGTTATTGTAGCTGCACTTACAGGACACCTGTGGTGGCGAACGTGTGAAGGACGTAAGTATTCCAGGTCACTACTTAAAAGAACGGTGGAAGTTTTTTAGAAAATATGGAGTAATTTAAAGCATTTGGACATCAATTTGTCAGCCTTTCAAATGCTAACACACTTATGGTCTAACCAGAACACATACTTTCAGCTTATGCCTTAATTTACACAGAAAATTTAATATAATTATTATTTCTCATCTTTCACACTCAGGACTGTGTGAGTGACTTTGTTCATTCCCAACCCCGCCAACAGCAGACTGCTTCGGAACATCAGGATCCGGCCTGCTTCAAACAACTGGGTACCGAAGTACTTCAGCTGGCACCGGGCGGAGAGCACTGAAGGGCTGGGTACAGCCTGTGTGGTTGGTCACCCCCCACAGAACACCAGTGACAACAACAGTTCTGCACGTTCTGGGAAACACCAGAACCCAAACACCTGGACATTAATAAAGGAGATGGACAACAATTCTTGGTCAGAAGGAAAAGTGAACTTATGATTACAATTTAAACCAGATGTTTAACCATTTGTTAATTTTAAAGAATCAGAACAAGGACACAAAGTCATACACAACTAGAAGTTCATTTTATTTCTGTGCCTTCTGTGCCTTCTGCACCTTCTCAGACTTTGGTGCCTTCTCCATCTTCTCTGGCTTCTCTGACTTCTCTGGCTTCTTGCCTTTTTTAGAAGACAACTTCTGCAGCTTCTTCATTTCATGCTTGATGATCCTGTTTCTCTGTAAAAAAAGGAAAATGTTTACTATTCATCAGAACGAAAACAGCAACAGCTCAAATATTATGCCTTAATTTAAATTCTAAGCTTTCAGATTCTGCCCTTTTTGATAATCACCCTTGGCTAACCAATTATATTTGTATTATCACAGTCAAAAGATTTACCATGCCTTAGATTTAAAATGTCAAATTCCACCTAAAAGTGTTCTGATCTACCAAGCTGACACCACCATTCTGGCTGGTAACCTGGGCACCCCAGTACTTCCTGTGTAACAACTTCCATTTTAGAACGAAATACCAACAGCAACCCATCAAGAACGTCCCATTTCACCAACAGGTAATTCCTTCCTCGGCTGTAACTTGGGAGGACTGACGCAGAGCGTGTGGGTTCAAATTTGCGGCTACTGAACAGAAAGTGGTGGCCAAAGCAGCATGAAAAACTCAAGGCATTCACATACTTTGTGTCCGTCCGTAACCCAAGCCAGCTATAAAAGGCTGCTTACCGCCTGTATGCAACTCTGGAGCGAAAGCTACAACCACCAACCCCATAAAGAAGCGATACTCAAACACTCACCATTTTCTTTGCTTTCATAACCTTGTAGCGATCGAAGTCAGTCATTTTGGCTTTCTGTTCAAAAAGAATCAGTCATGAAGCTCTGATTGACAGACACATATGCAAGAAGTAAAACTCAACTGTTTCAGAGCATTCCAAGTAACACTGATCATCTCCGAATTAGCTTTAGCTGCACATCTGGAACTAGTTCACTAAGGCCTTTGCTGGGAAGTGATGGTGCAGGAAAAAAGTGGTTATAGAAATGACTGAACAAAACCACATTTACTGTTAAATAGCTGAAGGTGATAGCCAGCAACTTTTAAATATCTATGCCTTGTCTATCTTTATCTTAGCTTGCAACTGAAAGCACCTACTTTATTAGACTGCACCTTATTTTAATAAGCAGAAGCAGTACAAGGTGCATTCCTGATCCAGTGAAAAACTGTACCTTTTCTCGAGCTTCAATCTTCTTTGCCCATCTTGTTGCAGCCCATTTTTCATTTATATTTTCCTTCTCCCAGGCAAGTCGCACACACTTCTGACGAGCACTGCGTTAGAACAGTCACAAAACTACGTTCAGACTATATTTATAAAAAAAAAGGCTCTCCCTGATGCTGGCCCATCAAATTTCATACAAGATCACGCTTCTACGTTACTTCAGACACTTTCTGTCAGTGCCACACACATCTCTATGGCCTAATTAGCATTTGTTGTGCGAGTGCTTTGCTAGGACTGACGGACAATCGACTCCGAGGGGCACGCTCACGCGCTATTCCTAGCACTGCTTCAGAGCCAGGCAGGCAGCAGGTTTTGTTTCCAAGTCACAGAAATCCACACAGCACCTAAGCTACAGTGAACAGAGTGAGTCCAGCCTCCCGCAATCCCAGCATGGCTCTGCAGGCAGGGAGCGTATTCCATGTCTGACGTTGACTGAAGCAGTAGGAAAAGCAAAGCCACACACCATTCACTGCGGCTGCTTCCCCTGCAGCATCCACCCCACAATGATCTGCAAGTTGTCCAGGCCAGCGTGCCAGTTCCTTTCCTCCTGAACAGGGGTAATCAGCCAATACTGGTAATGACAAGTTAAATATATTCAACTACGTGTTCACCGTCTGTCGAATTTTTACTGTGCACACACGTTAATCCATTGACTTGATGTTATATGAACTTTTCTAGATTTAGAAAGCACCAGATCACAATGTGCAGTCATCAAGTGACAGCCTGTTTGTTTACACAAGTCAAAAGAAAAAGGCCAACAGCTCACCTGTGTGGGAACTTGAGAACAAAGTCAGTCAGCTGCATGCACTTGAAGGGCATAGCCTGCCTTCTGACACCACTGCAGGGGCCATCAACTAGTGCCTGAAAAAGGAACACACACGTGGGGGTTTTTAGCATTTTCCCATCGTACTTGTTTAGGTAGCAGCTTCCTAACAATGTATGAGCAGTGCCTTGACAACAATGGTCCAAAATTGAAATAAATGTTATGCAGACAAAACCAAGATTGTGAAGTCTTGCATATACAACCCAAACTTTACAGAAAAAATTTTAAAGGCCCATCTTTGGGAAAAAAAACAAACAGAACTTTAAAAAAAGCACACAGAACTAAGGCAACGTACTTAAAAGCTTCCTCTTTTTTTCCCAGATTTTTCAGGAACATCAAGTGAAAAGTCCCCTAGCCCAAACATTTGCTTCAAACATACATTAATACCATTCCATTCATAAGTTTTAGACACGAACTGACATCACTTGTCCACTTCTACTCCTAGGAAACACAGCAGAGAGGGGAATACATCACTTACCAGTGAAAAAAGCTTGCTGATTAAAGTTTCAAATACAACAACAGCTGTTAAATCTCACCTTTCTTCGAAAAAACTCTATTCACAGAAAATTTCTTTTAAAATCGATACTCTTAGTGTACAAGCTTCTGTTAAGGCAGAAAAGAGAAAATAAAGATACAGCACTCATAGCTTACCCTATTTTGGTCAATAACATCCACGATGGCCACCAGCTTGCCAGCATGTGGCCCGAAGGAAATGAAAGCAACTCTGCCAATCTCAACGAAGCGTTTGAACACCTGGGAGCAGTAAGAATTGACAGGAATTAGGGGAAAAATAACCTAAGGCCACTGCCAGAGTCCACACTCTCACAGCCTTTAGAACAGCTTCCCAAGAAACCCCTTCGCTTGGGCAAAGGGCCCACGGTAACGCCCTCAACTACTTTTTGCCGGCCCTGGCCCCGCGTGGAGGCCGCGGGCAGGAGGAGGAAGAGGCGCTGCGGAGAAGCAGCGACCTCGCTGGCCACGAAGAGCCAGGGG